GTAAAGGCACTATTACTAGACCCAGACTCCATTTAAGAATGATAGAATTTCTGCTTTGGACATCTGCAAAAGACCTCTAGGTGATGTGAGCTAGCCTGGCTGCACTGACTACCAGGGAGCTGTTCAGGATCACAGCAGCTGAATATGAAGTGCCATCCCACAGGCACACCCTGTAGTTTATCAAGAAATTATCTTCTAGAAACATGTGAACATCTCACCACCCCTCTAAACAAAACATACCTGGGATTCCTGCACCTCCAGTTTCCCCTCTGATCCCATATGGTCCAGGTAATCCTGTGATTCCTGGATGACCTTGGGATCCTTTCTCCCCTTTGCTGCCCAGAGCTCCTGGGGGACCTGGATCTCCCTGAGAAACAGCAGTTGCACACAAACAGGTAAAGAATCACACTACATTAAATACATTACATTCCATAGTTGAACAATACAAAAAATAATGCATAATTTTAAAGGTTAAGTAAGCGTAATCATGGTTCATTGTGATTTTCAGCCAAAAATCAAAGTAGACTAATATAAAGTCTTCTCGTAATACCACTGATCCTTTGGACATAGCTAAGAAAAAAAAAATAAAATCTTTCTTTAATCTGTACAAACCAGATCCCATCTTTACAAAGAAATTCTTCACCAAGAGACCTTGGGATCCTTTCTCCCCTTTGCTGCCCAGAGCTCCTGGGGGACCTGGATCTCCCTGAGAAACAGCAGTTGCACACAAACAGGTAAAGAATCACACTACATTAAATACATTACATTCCATAGTTGAACAATACAAAAAATAATGCATAATTTTAAAGGTTAAGTAAGCGTAATCATGGTTCATTGTGATTTTCAGCCAAAAATCAAAGTAGACTAATATAAAGTCTTCTCGTAATACCACTGATCCTTTGGACATAGCTAAGAAAAAAAAATAAAATCTTTCTTTAATCTGTACAAACCAGATTCCATCTTTACAAAGAAATTCTTGCACCAAGAGAAAAATGAAATATAATTAACCCAAAAATTTATCCTGAATGATGACACAAAAGGACTTTTTAATTTGTTACAATTAACAAATTGGCTACTTCTGTAAACACTACAGGTCTTGCTTACATGATGTTCTGTTTCTATTGTCAAAGGCTCTGCTTATTGCCTAATATGACAAGGTTTCCATTGCCTTTATACCTTTGGACCAGGTTCTCCTGGAGGCCCAGCAGATGGGTATCCAGGGTCTCCTCTGTCACCTGGAAAGCCACCATAGCCTGGTGGACCAGGGTCACCTGGTGGTCCTGGAAAGCCTGGAGAACCTTTCTGTCCTTTTGGACCTGGAAAAACACAGATACTGATACTATTCTTAAAATTATCATAATTGCAACCCACATTTTGGGTTTTGTGAACTACTGCTTATATATACAGGTATTTATTCTTCATTAAAATAATTTACACAGCCAGTGATTTTATTTCTAAACATATTGAAAAGAGGTTCTTGCATGTTACAATATATAAATTAAAGAAGCTATGTTGCATTCAGAGAGAGGCAGAATTGCATTCTGGAAGTCAGGCAAATGCTAGGATGGTGGTAAATCTATAGGTACTGCAAAGAATAAATCCTAGTCTAGGTACTGTGTAGTCAGCTTACAGTATCTGCTCAGATCTGTGCAAACGCTTCTATACAGGTCTATGAATTTGTAAAATTGATTGATAGAAAATGACCTGGAATTCCCATGACCCCTTTGTTTCCTGGTGAACCTAGGAATCCTTGTCCTCCAGGAAGCCCCGGGAGACCCATAAATCCTTTGACACCTGCAAGATGAAGAAATAAGTGTCATCCTCACATGTTTACTTTAGGCACTGGCTGGCTGGCAGAGCTGTCATGAATACAGAATCCTCTGCTGCCCACCTTGTCATGGTATCCTATTATTTTACAAATCAACATGCAGCCAAAGTAAAAGTCTTCCTCAAACAAAGATAAAATTATAATTATTGCTGTCAGAAAATCAAGGAAATAACAAGTATCTTCTTTATCAAGATGAAAATTAAGGTTTCTGGTCACAGCACTTAGGTGCAGCAATTCAAATATACTTTTGCAAATTTTAATCAGGACCATGAATTTGTATTTATACACTGGACTCCCCTTCGTTTTTGCCCTGTGCTCAGTCTGGTTTTTGGGCATCTCACATTCACAGTACTACTTACTGTGCACTTGTCATGATTAATATACCCAAGAGCTTTTTCTCATATGGCTTAGGCACTTTTCCCCCCCTCACTTATCTTCAGTTTAATTTACCTAAAATAGCATTCAGTTTAATGACTACATGACCTAGTTGCCTCTAGAATGTCCAGATGCCTACATTCCAAGATACTGGCAATGCCTGGACATTTGGGCAGGTGAGACCTTATTTTATTCCATTAAAAGTCAGGGAGTAGTGGAGCGTTTGCAGTTTTTTCCGTGGTGGCTTCACTGCAATGACCATGTAGGATGTTAATGACAGAATCAGAGAATCACAGAATGGTTTGGGTTCAAAGGGACCTTAAAGATCGTCTAGTTCCAACCCCTCTTCATGGGCAGGAACACCTCCCACTGGACAGTGGTGATATGTTCACATATAGCACAGATAACTGACATCATGAGAGGAGCCATTTTGATTACAAGTTCAAAGTTATTTCTAATTGTCACCATTTTTATGCATCTAATTATAGTGATATGATTTTTTAGAAGTAAGTTTTCTCGAAGAATCAAAATACAGAATAACAAAAAGTAAAGATGTTTTACTAGCAGGAATTTGAAAAAAGCAGATGCATTGTCTCACTCAAGCATCAACATCTATCATTATGTACAAGGTTATGGTAAAGGCAGAACAAAAATTTGTGAAATGACACATTTCACAAATGTTTAATGTTTATGTTTATGTAAATGTAATGTAAATGTTTAATGTTAATGCTTATCATTTATAGAGGTCCTTTTGAAGTCTGCTTTTCACTGAAGACCTGATAACTCAAAATATAATCCAAACATGTAGACTTTGAAAAAGGAATTAGAATGAATCCAAATTTGAAAAGCTGGAGCACATCTGTAACACTGATATTTTAGAATTCCTACCTTTTAATAATAGGAATTCAAACTCCTCTTCACTTTTATAAAGAACAATTTTTATTCATTTGCCTCATCAACTTTAAAATCTAAGTTATTATTACTCAGGATTTAATATTATTTTCTATTTTTCACACCAAACAATAGTCTCTTTTGGAAGGAAACATGGAATCATTTTTGGGTAGCTGCTACGATTTTCAAATAGCAGCTTTTGAAGTGGCTCAGTTTCAGAATTCTCATAAAAACTTCAGAGTTAATACAGAGAATGTAGTGCTGCTGGGGCTGGGTTTATGTGCTAGCCCTGAGGTAATATTATCTCTACCTTTCATGTGATACAGTAATTGTCAATATAAATATTCCATACCTGGTAGACCAGGTAGTCCTTGAGACCCATCAGGACCTGGAGGACCTTGCACACCGGCATCTCCTTTTTCTCCTCTTAGACCCATTCTTCCTTGGGTTCCTAAAACCAAGTTTCATTAAAAATATTTTAAAACTACATCCTAGAATTTAAGTGTTATGTAAAGTTTGAAGTTTTATAACTCTTAAAACTACTGAATCATGAAGTGGAGGATTTTCACTCTGTGAACACACACAAGCCAAGACAAGCTCACAGTAAATGCTTTCTGTATTTCTCATATGAAGACAAAATTAAATCTCTAAAAGCTTCCATAGGAAAATATCTACTCAAGAAGCCAGAGAGCCTTAGTTAAGCCTGAACAACTCATGTGCAGAGTCTATATTAATACTGCAAACAAAGGAATTCTTCTGACAGTTAAGTAGTTCCAAGCAGACCCAATTTCTTTGCAATTCAGCATCTAGTTGGTAAGCAGACCCATTCCTGTAATCACAGACTAATACATGTGTAAAAACATGAATGCATAGCATATATGTAAATAAGGCTCCTCTACTATTAACATATTAATACTGGTTTAATATTACATCAAGAGTTTTTTTTAAGGAATATGGACTTGTCATAATGAAAATAAATATCCAATGTAATATCCAACTATCCCATAAATAAAAAGGCAGCTACAGTGTTCAGCAGTAATTATTTCAAAGCCATGTGAATTCTGTCAGTAGTAGAGTCAGTTTTTTCCATGTTTTAGAGTCCACAGGAACTGCAACATAGATCAGAATCCTAACTAGTTTTGCATGACAGAACAATCAAAGTGTACCTTTTAAGCCTTGTTCTCCTTTAGTCCCAATATCAACCAAGGTCTCAGATGGTCCAGGAAAACCTTTATCACCTTGTTCACCTTTTGCTCCAAGAAGCCCTTTTCTTCCCTTTAGTCCTGGGAACCCGGAAGAACCTGCAGAAAAATATAATGACATTTTCTGAAGAAACCTGACTAGGCAATAGCATAAAGGAAGCAACGAAACTCCTGCCTTAAAGGGCAACTATGTATGTAAATATACATTCCAAATCAACAACCTAAATGAGCTTCTTAATTACTCCAATCATCAACAAAACATCTGTGAACACGGTAAGATTATGGTAAGAGATGGTAATTTCTTACACTGCATGTATGTATTACCTTACATCTCTTGAATAGATATAATTATGATATGTGGAACATGAATAGGGTAAAAAAAACAAATAGAGCAAGAAAAAGCCCTCTGCTCTTTACTTTGCAAATCACACGCGGCTTTTACAAATACCAATGGAATTGCTAAAAAAATTAATAATGTTGCCATTCTGTCTGTTTACTGCACATATATACAAGTCAAAGACTTACCAAGACTCAAAGAAATTCTGATATGAGACATATAGTTAGGAGTGATAATATATATCAAGATGGATCACAAGACTACTTCAGCATGGAAGTTCTATAATTCTAAGTAATAATGAAAGCAGATACTATGGCCACTTGCCTCTGATCCCTGGGTTGCCTGGTCTTCCAATCATGCCAGGGGGCCCAGGAATTCCTAACAGGCCCATTATACCTGGATCTCCCCTTAAGCCTGTGAAATTGAGGCAACAGGAATGTATTTGTTAGTATTTTATCAATGAACAGTACTTCAGAAAAACTACACGTGCCTGACATGTAAGTGTTTAATTACTTACTTGTTTTCTCCATTTCTACAACATACTATTGAATCTAGTTTTCCAGTCTTCAACTGTATGAACAGCACTTACACAACAGCAAGTCCCAAATTAACTAGATTAGTAGCTGCAACAGCTTCTACTGATAAATGAAGTAACTGACACGGAGACCTGTCATGGGTTGTTCTGCCTCAGGAGTTGAAGGCCAATTGGGACATAAGAACTCCCCTCAAATGACATTAGAAAGCTACATTTGCATAACTGAGTCAAGCACTACATATTTATAATTACTTTTATAGGTTGTATATACAAAAAAGCATGTACTATCCCCTTCCCACAGAATAATGTAGAATTTGATAGTAATGACAAATCTTTGTTAGAGGTAAGAGGCTTTACATGCCTGATTTAGAATCTGAGAATCATTTTGGTTGGAAAAGACTTAAAATCACTGACATAACCAACCATTAACCTAACTCTACCGAGTCCTGTGCTAAACCACATCCATAAAATTTCTTTCATTCTGCAAGTAAAATTTGAGCACATTTCTGAAAGAAAACCCTACAGGGATTACCAACCTTACATAATGTTAATTCTGATTAATTTGTTAGAGTTTGATCTGACTCAACTCTATCAGACTCAAGATGTAAACTTGCTTTTTAAGAAAAAGAAGATTACATTAAAAAGCTGTCTGTTTCAAAAGGAATGCTGACTAGTAACTACTAAATACGTTACACTTCTATTATGCTGGAGAGTTGCTTTGAATATTAACTAGTTCATGTCTACTGCAAGGATATTAATGTTCACAAAGCAATGTAAGGCAGCCTTCTGTTCTCAGAAGACTGTTACAGAAAATTCAGTACTATGTCATGACAGCTTCAAGATATGCTGGTCATTTAGGGAATGAGGAATTATTTGTTTTCTATATAGATTTCAGTGATACATGAAAGCTGCTGATGGAAAAAATATTTCAGCATGAAAAGCATGACTGAAACCTTTTTGCAGAGACTGACTTCACTTATGTGTCAAAACAAGTACTTGAGGGATCCTTACCTGGCACACCAGAGATTCCTGGCCTTCCAGACTGTCCTGTGGCACCAGGTAATCCTGTATTTCCCTGAGGACCTATTAATCCAAGTTCCCCAGGCTTTCCATAGGTTCCTGGGACACTCAAGCCAGGAGGACCTAGTTTTCCTTTTGGACCTTGCAAACCTCTTCCTCCTAAGAAAAATGCATGACAGTGTAGCATGGTACATCTATCTGGAAAATAAACCTTCATCTCTATCTTGACATCAGGAGCATGAAACTCTTCTTGCACTCTGCCTGTTTGAGGGCTAAACATTGAATCTATAAAACAACTCTTGAAAGTGTTGTGGTGGTATTTATTTTTTCAGAGAATGAGAAAAAAGTGAGAGTAGATAATTCTGTTCTTATAAAAATAAGAAAAAAAATAAACATGAAAAACCTGCTAAGACTGCATTTATTATTAAAAAAAAAAGAAAAGGTCCTACCTGGTCGACCTGTAGCTCCCTGGGCACCTGGCAAACCTGGCAGGCCTATAACACATTCAGCAGGTTTCCCTGGAAAACCTGGGTCTCCAGGAACTCCAGGTAAGCCACGATCTCCTAAAAGAAAGGAGACTGAATTCACAATGATTTAAGTAGAAGTTTCAGGCTTTGAGTGAGCATTGTTTGACTTGGCTTCTCTTTTCTTAAAATAACTTGCTGTGCTCCTTGAGTTTGTTTGACAACAGTACCTCTTAGGCCATCAACACCATCATGTCCAGGATGTCCTGGTAGTCCTGGAAGTCCTGGAAATCCTGTATCACCTTTTGAGCCGGGAATGCCATGACTTCCTGGTGAACCCAGTCTACCTGGCTCTCCAGGAATAACCATGCCTGGGTTGCCCTGCAACACAGAGAGAAATGTAAACAATCCTGGTGAACTATATTTTGAAAATTTGCCAAAATATCTTCTCCAGTGTGAAATCAATTAACTTCTTTCATTACGGTTATTTTCTTCTGAGGATCTTTGTATTATAAATTTTAATTCAACAAACCACTTGATGTTCCTTATTGACCAGCTGCAGGTTCTGTACCAGAGGAGTAATTTGTTTAGACACTTTTTGGACTTTGTCTCCTAATTCTAAGAAATTGCTACTGAGCAATGCAAGACACTTTCCTCCATTTACCCTTAACTACATTGTGATGCTTCCTGTAGCTGTGTAAAGCTTTGAACCTTTATCTGAAAACCTAGTTGGAATTTGTGCAAATGCAACTTCTCCTTTAAGTTAGAGGATAGTTATATTTTTCTCGAAATATTTATTTAAATAATCAAAGTTAGCATCCAGCTGCATCTTGGAGTAGTCAGTTATTGGGGTATTTTTAAACATTCTTCTGAACACTGTGAAGACACTATCACAAATGTCCCAAGTCTATTCCCTCAAAGGAAAGTGTGAATTGTTTTTTCTTTTTTGGCTGACTGAACTGCTGGTTGTTTTGAGTACCAGTGAATCAGTATGTTCATAATGTAGGTCGGTAGAGCTGAGCTCATACCAGTCACTAATACATACTTTTACTACAAAAGCCACTTCACATCCAGATGTTCTGTGGCATCAAACACAGTTTAGATAACAATAATAAAAAAAATAATCCAAAACCCCAGTGCCTATGCTTTATCATGTCAAAAAAACAACACAAAGAATGACATATAAGCACACACACACAAAAGACATGCCACCACATTTAAGTGTTAGTACTTTTTTCAAATTCTAATTCTGATTAGTCAAGAGTCCTACATTTATATGTGCCATCAGGAGATTAACTTCTCTTAATCAGCAAGAGTGGCTGCAGTATTACCTCTAGCCTACTTCTTTTACACTTGATTCAACAGAGCACTTGCTTAAATTAAATGCATGCTTACTTGTATGTATTAAGCACATCCAATATGTGCTTAATTGCAATTTCTGAATAGCCATCTTTTCAGAAGCTGTGGGCTTAATTTTTTGCTGTAAGCAATGCAGTATCTTCCTTGTACTCTGAAAACTCAAGTATCAAAACATCCCACACAAGTGGAGTTCTGAAATCCTGTATCTGAATTTAAAATTCTGGCTTTAGCCCCTTCATATATATAAACAATTTAATTTCATAGTTTGTGCATTGCTGGTCAGGAAATATAGAAATTCCTGTATTCCTTACACTTCTTAATTTATTTGCTCAGTGTCACACTTAATGAATGGGGCCTGTGGAAAAGTCTGTCCTGTATTTCCAACCAAACCTTTTCTCCTGGTTCTCCTCGGTTTCCAGCTCGGCCTGGATCTCCCATCTTTCCTTCACAACCTGGTGGCCCTCTGCCTCCTGCAAGTCCTTTGTCTCCTGCAAAAGGAATTAAATGGCAGAACAAATGCTACAGTTGTCACCTTATTTTACAAATTTGTATTTGTATGGATGCACTTAGAAACCTGACACTAAAGCAGCTGACATGAGCTGACGACAGTGTTTTTATTTCGGAGTTCACGTGTCACGCTGCATCTTGTTCCTTATGTATTCAGTCAAGGTTGATTGTAACACTGCTTGATTACTTGCTTCAAATCAGTTATTTAACATGTTGGGGTTTTTTTAAGTGAAGCTATTCTGGTGTCAGTTCCCTACTGTTTTCTTTAACAAGCAGCTTGGTAGAAGTTTCAGTATCAGAGCTTGCGTTCCCCTCCCTCTCGTTCCCCGATAGGATGATGGGAATATTTCCTAACATTTCTAGTGTCCAAAGAGGGGTATGAATTTGCATGGCCAAATTCACATTATTCAAAACACTTTCTGTTCCCTGCACATTAGAGCAGGTATTGCTTTGTGCATAACCAAAATGGATTAAAAATAAAGTACTGACACTTGTACAGCTCTGTTACATATATCCAGGTAAAGAGAATCCACCTGAAGTAAGCGTAGCACTCTAAGATGAGCTGCACCTGCTCAGACAGTATTCCAGAAAGCACCAGGGTCTTTCAAAATATTTTCCAGTTGCCAGCTTTGATACTTGATTCTCTGAAATACTTAAAAAACTTTCAAACTTGCAGTTTACAAGCCTGAAGGCAGTAAATTACAAGACTGCTAAAAACATTTGCTTGTCTAACTAATGTTCATTGTTTGTTTGGTTTTTACCCTGTTGCTTGTGGACTGAAAAAAAAAAAAAAAGAAAAAAAAAAAAAAAGAAGTACATTTTGGGGGGCTTGGGGTTTTTTTTTGTAAGAAGATCAAAAAGCATATTTTACCTTTTGGACCTGGGTTTCCAGGAAACCCAAGCCCTGGAAAACCTGTGTCACCTGTTGGCCCTGGATGTCCTGAATCACCTGGCTGACCTCTTGCTCCAACCCTACCTGTACAAAGAAAAGAAGTAAACTATGATGTATCTTACCATAGAACATCAACTTGTAAGATTAGGTGTTTTATAGCTTATCATTATTAATTAGGATACCACTGTAGATCGTATTAGAATTTATACACCATTTCTCCTCCACAGATGGTTTGCACAGTTAAAATGCTGACTGTGTTCACAGTATCAAAGCAGGCATGAGTCTGTGACTTAAATTTTTTTAGAATCTCTGCAATAATGCACACCAGGGACACGGCCCTGTGTGCCCTTCCTATTCACATCTACTTCGCCTAGTTTTCTTGAAAGGGAATGTTACAGCTAATTCCACAGTTTCTGTACCACAGGAAACCTTTTTATAGCAATTTAAAAATAACCCAAAAATTTTATCTGGCCAGAGCTGAGATAGCAATCCCAATCAGATTATCTCTGATTTTTACTGTATTTAGTGTACATGTGCTCACCAGGCACTCCTGGGGGTCCGGGTAAACCATCTGGTCCTTGAGGTCCTGGCAACGCAGGCAATGGAGTTGCCCTACTGGTCTCTCCTTTCAGACCTTCAGCAAATAAATAATCAAAGATTACAAAGGTTTATAGTTTGGCAATATGTAATCTTAAGTGTTTAAAAATACTTGGTCTGATCTCATGACTGACCCTGCTCTGAGCAGGAGTTTGGACTAAAGACCTCACAGGGCTCCTTCCAACCACAAGTATCTAATGCTAAGACTTTTCTATTATCTCCAATGGGACCAACGTTGGAACAGGGCAGTAGAAATCTCATCCCAAGAAAAGCTTCCTACATTTCACAAATTGTGTCTTTGACTTCACTCTATCTCTGCAATTTCAATTAAATGCTCTTTATCATAAGTAAAACATGGTAAAATGGGACGTTACAAACCAGCTTCTCCAGGTAATCCAGGTAGACCAGGTATTCCTTTAGAGCCTTTGAAGCCTCTTATTCCTTGCGGTCCATATCCTGGCAGTCCAGGAAACCCCATCTCTCCAGGAAGACCAGGTCTGCCAGGCAACCCAGGTAGTCCTCTATCTCCTTTTGCACCAGCCAATCCCTATTAATGATTACATATGTGTGTATATGAAGCATTACTCACTTTCTGCACCAGCTTTCATAACAAAATGCTCGATTCTCTGTAGCAACAGAGCAGCCCTGCTAATGTAATTTGAATTTTTCCTCTATTTACTTGTGATTAAAGAAATATAAATTTTAATATCAGTGGTTACAAACAGAGGGCTATTAAGAGCGAAATAGTACAAATAAATACAATACCTTGATTTTTCAATTACTGTGACATTACACTGTGCTTTTTTTTTTCTTTTTAAAACAGGATTGGTAAAAAAAACCCAACAACTTTTGTGGTTTCTTTCAACCCTGTCTGGAGATAAATGTGTCAAGACTGAAAAGGAATTATGTGAATGATTATTTCCTTTTAAACATTGTAAGTAGTCAGGAAAACTATTTTTAAAAAAAAATCTTATTCACCATAGGTATCCAAGATAACACTCCATATAAATATACAACTAACAGGATAATAGATTGCCAAGGTTTTTCAGCAACATGTGTCTACACTAGCCTCATCTCCCTGGTATTATGTAAGAAGATAAACTCTCATTCTTTCCTACATATTGGTCATGCATGTTGGTTGCTACAGTTGAGCATAACACCCCTAAGTCAGGTAGAGGATATTCAGTAAAAGCATCTGAATACATAAAACAGATGGATGTATGAGATATAAATACTGACTTAGGTTTTAATGAACTCTATATTAATTGCAAACAGGGCATACCCACCTCTTCCCCTTTAGAACCCTTGGATCCCTTAGAGCCAGGTCTTCCCAGAAATCCACTTGAACCTTTTCTTCCTTTGTCTCCCCTGGCCCCTGGATCGCCTCGCTCACCTTTTGGCCCTTCTGGATACACATATCCTGGCTCACCTTTTGGTCCTTTACGTCCTTGATCTCCTCTAAAACCTGGAGGTCCCTGGAAAAAAGCAATCCAAAGGATTTCAAGTGCTAGACATATGTCAACTGTTGTCAAGCTTTCTTTTTTGAATTAAATACCTGAGAGTGGTTCTCTTTAGTCTCACCTTTATTTATTGTAATGGCACACTGTTGGGATTTTTTCTTTTTCTCCTGCCTTTACTCCTTTTGGCCTTGATTATAGTTTCATTTATTCTACTACAAGCAGGAATAATGCAGGATCGTTTAATCAATCAGACTGTTAGCTACCTGGTTGTGCTTTGGTGGCATAGAGAGACAAGTACAATCTAATTAGAGATTTCTCCTGCACATGGAAACATCTCCCCAGGGATGCTATAACAGCCACAATCAGGCCTGTTCATAGTTAACTTCTCCTCTCCCTTCTTCCCCCCATAGGATACAAAGTGAGTACTCTATCCCAGCAAAATCCAGTACAAGCTGAAAGTACACTAGGCTGTAGTGATCTTGGGCTCATGACCTCTTGGGAGCTTTCTGGAAAATCCTGTTGGCATACTCCTTCATTCTGCATCTGTGTGGCAACCACCACAAATACTTCCAAGTAATCTTTTTTTTTATTGGACAGCACTGACTGTAATTTCCCACAAATAATTACTAGTACAGGCACAAGTCAGAATAGCCAAGTGGTCTGTGACAGCAGGTGTCAGCCTTCCCTCTTCATAATGTTTCCCAAGAGGGAATGTCCTTCGCATCCCTGTGAAAAGGATATTATTAGAAGCAAGTCTCTCTGCAAAGCTGGGGCTTTACCAAGTCATGAGTATGTTGGAAACAAGAGAAGTAAGAAATCCAACAATGATCACAGCACACAAAACTATATAGTCTTTACAGCCACTGCCATGATTATAGAATTATGTTGATGAACAGAAGTTAAGTGTAAACTAACCACACCAGGCAGAAGAAGCATTCTAACCATAATGAAATACAGAACAGGTTAATGACACAGTTATTTACCTGCCTCACTGCCTGGGCTAAACTTCTTGCTGCGCTCAGCAAAACAGGCTTGTGTAAAACTAGAACAGCTATGTTCATGTTACAGTCTCTACCTAGGCCTCCCATGCAGACATATTCATAACCACAGAAAGAAAACTGTTGAGATCACCCAGTATGACACTGCATGTAACACCAGCCATGAAGGTTCCCTGAAATATTTCTTGTGGGATCTGAAAAATAATCAGAAAAAGTCTATCTTACTTGAGCTCCTGGAAACCCTGGTGCTCCTGGAGAACCTGGAGAACCTTTTGGACCTGTTGTTCCTTCTCTACCTGCAAAAGAAACACACAGTTTGTAAAGATAAGTCAAAACAAGGACATGGATTTTGTCAAGCTCTGATAATCACACCCAGTATTGAATGTTTCTGCTTGTTACATTGACTGCATCATCACAGGCCAATCTGGCTTTAGGCTGCACCTAAGTCTATTAGCATTCTGACTTCACCTTCTTTAGGGCTTGTTCTTCTACCAGTGGATGGAGCTGCATCAGGCTCTCACACTCAACCTCAGGACTGGCTCAAGAACTGCATGCTGCAGACATGCCCATACCTTATTATCATGCTAAAAGCAAAATCACCGGCCTTTTCTATTATCTTGATAGAAAAAACATGCTAATTTACCAGGTATGCCATCTTGCCCATGTGACCCAGGAGAACCAGGAAGACCAGGTATTCCAGGAATATAGCTGCAATCAGTACACATGAAAGCTTCATCACCTAAAATGAAAATAATTGGATAGATATTGTACAGCAAGTCATTCCCAGGCTTAACTAATTTGTTACATTGTTTGTTATAGAGGATGGCTAAGACTTCTTGGCCAGAAAGCAGTAGGAATATTGCCTTAGTTTTGTTGGATGATCACTTCCAACTCAGTACAAAATTACCTGTGGTCAGACAGTGAATCAGAAGGGTTTACATTTAATTGAAAATGCAACACCATTCAGTTTAAATTTTTATTTTTTTTCAAGTCTAGTTTTAGTAAGCCATTTGGATATAGTCACTCTACTGATAAGGCAAATACTCTCAAAAGAAGAAAGGGACTTAGGCTTCAAACTAACATGGGTGCATAACAGCCTGGATGACTTTAACAGATGGCAAGTGGCAAAGAGATTCAGCAGTTCCTGTGGTGGTATTTGCAGAAGGAACCTTTTCTCAGAGAACAACTTTTAGTGTTGAACATAACAATGTGAGAATACAAAACCCCTACCAACCTGTTTGTCCCACTGAAGATCTATGCTTTGGCTGCAGAGCTGTACAACTGGTGTGCACATGCACTGCTCTTTCAGCTGCAGTTTACTGTAAGTGGAGTAAGACATCTTGCTATCCTTAACTAATTTTCTCAAATCTCTGAACTCATTAAATGGTTTAGAGGCAAATTAAATTCAAAATTTCACAAGGATATGTGAAAATTACTGGATCGTACAATCTACTTCTGAGGGATAGTTTTCTGAAACCGACCTTTCATGCCAACATCTCCTGGAGGTCCTGGAAGTCCGATACACCCTGGCTCTCCAGGAAGTCCTGGTTGGCCTGTTCTAAATATTACTTTACCTGTTAATGAAAGGAGCATGGCAATATTACACCAGCAGATTATTCAGACAAATCTCTATTTGCTAAGAGACAAAAATTACACAGATGAGTTTGAGACAGTATTCTGATCCTTATGGGTCCCTTCTAACTTGAGATATTCTAGGATTCATTTAAAAGAGAAAACTACCTGGACAAATTAAAAAAATATCTGTAACTGGATGTACTTGAGGATAAACATGGTAATACCAATGTAAATCTCAGCAGGCTGTTGGATCCATCTTTCTAGCCTTTAAAAATCATAGTCTGGGGAAAGTACTTCCATTTTATGTGAATGAACAGACACATAATTGTTTCTTTTACCAGAAACAGAACAGAAACTTTTCATAAAATCATAGAATAGCTTGAGTTGGAAGGGACCTTAAAGATCATCGAGTTCCAGCCCCCTGCTGTGGGCAGGAACACCTCCCTCTAGATCAGGTTGCTCAAAGCCCCATGCAGCCTGGCCTTGAACACTTCCAGGGATGGGGCATCCACACCTTCTCTGGGCAACCTGTGCCAGTGTCCCACCACCCTCACACTAAAGAATTTCCTCCTAATGTCTAACCTAAATCTCCCCTCTTCCAGTTTTGATCCATTACCCCTTGCCCTCTCACTACAAGCCCTTGTAAAAAGTCCCTCCTCAGCTTTCCTGTAAGGCCCCCTTCAGATACTGGAAGGTGCTCTGAGGTCTCCCCAGAGCCTCCTCTTCTCCAGGCTGGACAACCCCAACTCTGTCTTCACAGGAGAAGTGCTCCAGACCTTGGATCATTTTCTTTTAATCTTAAATTATTTGTGCTGCTTATGTACCTTTGACAAAATTATTCTGATGTATGTACTATTACTTTGGAGAAACAGAATTGCATTGAACTCTTCCTAAGGTTATATATTTAGGGGATATATATATTTTTCAGAGAGAAAAGACACGCACTAAGTTGGCATTGGTTCAGAAAAGCTTTTTTGGCCTTACCGCATATGAAAGAAACATCATGCTGTTGGTACTCCTGGTTGATAGGGTACTCTGAGATCATACATTTTCTAGAAGCCTTACTATGCTAATACTTTCTTTTCATGCTGCCAGAACTGTAATCCTGCTCTAAAGCCCACTGAAACTGCTGCAGGTGTGCACATTCTTTCTCTAGCTTTCAGATTAGCCCCTTCTGAATTCAGTTTTACAGATCTACTACAACTTTCAGAATAATTAATTTTAGGAACAGATTTCCACTCATTAGTCCTTCCTGGTGTTATGTAGCAGATCTTTATAGTCATGGTTATACAAAAAGATGAGAAACCTTTCTGCTGGGAAGTCATACCTTCTCCACAGAATCCCATTAGCAAAGAAGCACAGACCTTTGTTTCATGAATATTCTAAAAAAAATTTCTAAAGAGAAATTATATTCAACCATGTATTTATATAATATTCTACATTAGATATTGCAATTACTCTGGATTTGTTCTTTTTCATTATATATATAAAACTGAAATGTCACCTGGTTCTCCTGGAGGACCTGGCAATCCAACAGAACCAGGTCTGCCAGTAATACCAGGTAGTCCTGGAGGGCCTACAATACACAAGCCAGTTTGTCCTTTTTCTCCTTTAGATCCTTTTGGTCCAGGAAATCCTGGGGGACCTCTTAAACCAGGCCTTGATACACCTAACCAAAGAGTAAAAAACAATAAAAATAAAGAAATAGAATTTCAATGCCAAGTGAGTACTCAATAGGATGAGCAAGACACAGAAATACTGAGTTTATCCCACAAATCTTTTCTATCTTGTAATATATTAAATACTCAAAATGGCAATGTAAAGAAATGTAAAAAATATCTTTAATTCTCTTTTAAAATACTTGGCCCATCAAAGTTTTAGGGTGACAAATGTTTACCTCTAAGAGATATATTTATAAAGTCATCTGAAGTTAAGATCCTACAAAGCTTTATAATGGTCAGGAAGAACAATATATTTTATTGTTGGTACTGGACAATGACACATACCTGGTCTGCCAGCATATCCAGGAGGACCCTGTGGCCCTGCAAAAGTAATGTATTTAGAAGTTCAGTTAAAAAACTGTGTACTCTGCAAAGTCGCTTCTCATAAATAGTGACTTCAAAATTTGGGCTTCTGCATTTTAAGCTTATTTTATCAATTAAGAATTTGGCTTTGCCTGAGTAGGCATCTACTACTTATGCAACTGTTGCATACTGAGAGTTCTCACTGACATCTGGCAAGATATGGACGTTGAGCTTAGGTGCTCAACCCAATTATCTGTGCAAAGAAGTGTGTCAGCTTCATTATTTTCATGAGGCAATACAACCATAAATCAAAGTGTCAGGATATTTCTGTTCTGCAGTTTGATAGGAGCAATTTGGAAACACTCTTGTAAAGGCAGAAGCAGGCTGCTGGGTACTCAAAAACCCAGCCTGCAACAAGCTCACTGAGTGGGCAGCTCTGGCCAAAATATTCTAATTTTGGTGTCCCTCTCACCTGGCATGCCACGTTGGCCTTTCGGTCCTGGAGGTCCAGGGGGTCCTTCATCTCCTTTCTCACCAACCACCCTATCATAATACTCTGTCTTAAGAAAAAGATAGTAAGAAAGAATAGTAAGAATGAAGAGACAAGCACAGTGCTTCGTATTGAACATTTGATTAGAACAATGTTATGATCTCATTTATAATTTTGATTTTGTGACATTACGAGGCTTTCTAATCACATGGTTATCACAATCAGCCAGAAATGAAATAACAAATGTTAGACACAGATAATGCCAAGAGACCTGTACAAATAAACTTGAGAAAGCCATGCTTCAGTTAGAGCATGGCAGGACATCCATTATTGCCTCAGTTAGTCAGTTTGACTTTTTCTTATTCTAATGGTTTAGAAAAATTATATGATTAAGATAATGTACACTTACTCGACCACAAGCTCCTGGTGGACCAGTGTTCCCTTTCATTCCCTTCATCAGAGGACAGAGATGGGTTTGTTTATTAAAAACAACATGACATGACATTTGGTACCAACTATGACTTCAGAACATTGCTCATAACATTAAAGAACTCCTCCTGACCAGACTTTCACCACCCCCATTTCTGTTCTTTACACAACTATTCAGCTGCACACACCAAAAACTACAGGAACACATCAGCAGACATAGATGGACACCCACTCAAACACATTGTCTAGTTCAGCTGATCCATTCCCTATTCCATGATAGCATTACTTGTCATCTTTTAGGTGAAGTAAAACTTACTGTATACACAGCAATAAATAAAACAATGCAATAGCTCCCAAACATACCTTATCCTCATTCTCAAAAACAACAACAAAACCATTAGAAAATACCTTAGCTCCTCGCCTGCCAGTCAGTCCTGGTCTGCCCTGTTCACCCTTCTGTCCCTGCAGCACACAATTTTATGAGAATTAATCTTCTAGCAGTCATAAGAAAGACATAAAGTGGAAAGCTTTAGTTTTTCATGGTGACCTTGGTTTGTTCAGGGGAAGAAATCTCATGGAAAGACTCAGTTTGCACCACAGCTCCATGTCTGTGGGAAATACCACAGGTCTGATCCAAACCTGCCTTTATAGGAGCACACTCCACCAATCCAAAAGTGGAGCTCCTCTGGATAGCACAAGTGTAGGAGGCTCTGGTTGCTCTCCCTCTGCAAACTACTGTTTCTGAAACGGGAGAAACTGAGCACAGTGAGAGTCTCACATTCAGCAACTTCCTCTCCCAGAACTCGGCCAGTCTGCACGATGCTGCTGATCTCAACAGATGTCAGGAAGACAAGGAGGGAAAACAGTGTGGGCTGCTGCTAAGGCTTCCTGCAAGTGCGGAACGTGCAAGGAAAGGGACTTCTAGGAGACTTAAGCAGTTGAATTCACAGCTAGGTTGTTGAAATGGGAATACAGCAATGATATGTCTTGGTCATGACAGAAAGTTTTCTTTCAGTTAGCTGAGGCAGTAGAGCTTTGTGGTCTGTCATTCCATGTTCTTTGTCAGACTGGAATGTGTTTAGACTGTCTGCAGAGGTTGTTACAGCATGATTAAGATGATGTTTCAGTAAAAGATACATCAAATGGGCTGTTCTGACAATAAGAATTTTGATAAGGTATTTGTAATGTCACTGTGACCCTAATGATGTTGTTAAAGTGGAAGTGAAGTAAATATAAAATATTTGATATTTAATCAATTGAATACAGTATTCCAAATGCTTCTCAACAACTTCAGCTTTTAAATTAGTGAACAAGATAGTTTTGGTTATAAAATGGCATATTTGAAGAGTTATATGATGACAAAATGACAGTTTTAATATCTATCAGTCATCTTGTTTCAGGCCACTGCCACTGTGACTTTGACAAAAAATTTTCCCTGTAAAAGTATGTCTTTGCTTCTAATAATTAAAAATTGTTCATCTTGCTTCTTGATTTATGCTGAAGTGAAGGTATAACTCCTTTGCAAAAATTTATATGTGATGAGCCAGAATCAAATTCAATAGAACTATTTTGCATACTTGGACCATGTCTTGGACCAAATTCATTAGACAGCAACAAGCAACAGGCTTTTTTTTTATTTTACGCAAAAGAGACATCTATGAACTGAGCCTCCTTCTCCTGCATAAATCTATAAGGACATGGTATGTCCCAAGGTCAGCTGTGTGAAAGGAAATATTTCACAGTGTATGCAAATAAAAAGCTGTGACACAAAGATATGTCCATGATGAACAGATTACTTATTTTGAAAGTGTTTAGAAGGTTTCTTTCATTACCGGTAGTCCAGGTGGACCTGGGGCACCTTCTTTTCCAGGTTTACCCTACAAAGAAAAAGCAGAAAACAATAGATAGATAGATAGACAGATAGATAGATAAAAGGAAGAGGGATCACTTCATTCAATAAGCATAATTAAATGCTGCCTGTGCAATTGTATTCTAGGTCTTCAGAAGTTTTGAAGAGCTATTAAGGTTACTTTTAAAATGTTCATTATTTCTAATAATAATTAATTTTCATAAAACTCTTATGAAGCAGGGAGTGAGATATTCCTATTCCAGTGGAGGATTAGTTGATGTGGATAGGTCTGCTACCTTACATAAAACCAAAGCTTTTCATTCTCTTCTACATAGACTTTGGCATATCGTGTACTCATGGTATGTAGCCTTTAATAACTGTCATTTGACTTTCAGCTCCCTTGTCTGGTTTACTGGATGAAAAAGCTTTTCAATCTAAGAAAATTTGCTTTCAGCAGCATTGAAACAAAACCTGGAGAGCAACATCAGGGCAAAACAGCTTTTCAGAAAAGACTGACGTGTGTATTTGGCGGTTTGCATGTACCTGTGGTCCAGGTTCTCCTCGGTCACCCTTTTCACTTTCAGAATCACCAGCAAGCCCCTGTAACAAAATCACCCTCAAGATACACATATTTTGACACTCACATTTTCTAAATTAAATGTGTCTTATATAACTTTGTTATTTAAAAAAGTACATAAATAAAGTACAGTTAGAATGCTATTAATAGGTATTCTATTATGTTCTATTAATTAGTTCTATTCTATTCATTAAAGGTTGGAATTAGTGTAAATACCAGACTCTGAAAAATGGTGTTTATTAGGTGATGTTGCCTGAACATCTGGATTTAAGGGATTTACTTCTGGTCACTTACAGTAAACCCCATTGGCCCTGGAAGTCCTCTTGATCCTTTTTCTCCTTTCTCTCCTTTCAAGTCCTATTACACAGAAAAGAAAAATAAATATGGTATCTTGGATTTTTCTGTGCATATGATGACACTCAAAACTGTCTATCAGCTACTGCTGTTTAAGAATTTTAATTCACAAAGCAATAGTTAAAATGATAGTTGAATCAGAGTATTTCCTTTCTCTAATACTGATTATTTTCCCAACAGTTTCCATGATTACTCATGTTCCAGTAAAAACAATGAGAAAATGAACCATGAAATGTACACGAACATGTTGTAAGCTTTTTGTGAGATTCTGGCAGCTCAGAGTCCTGATATTTTCAGTAACAAGGCCCAGAGGTCAACATAGGAGTGGCTTTGATAGCAATTCAGAAAATCCATGTTGATTTGGTGATGCTAAAAGTGATTTACTTTTCATGTCCTCAGAGATCCACAGCAGGTGGGTTACTAATAAGCACTTAGCAGTCCACTGGCACTGTGCAGATGTGCATGTGAGTACACAGGCCTCGGCTGACCTGGTTGTATAGACACACACTCTAAGAAGAGCTAAGTATCTAACTAAACAAGTCTGAGAAATGTTAGGATGGGTAAAAGGAAATGTTATTGGAAAACGGAAGATGAAAATGTCCTCTCAAAGTCATACCTAGCAAACCAGCATATTTGAATGTGATGTTTAGCAATTTTGTTACCGTCATGTTGTCTGGTCCACTTAATGTCACAATAACGGTTCCTGGGGGTCCCGGGGGTCCAGTTAACCTAGTGTCACCCTTAAAATGAAAAAAAAAAAAAAGAAACATTAAGCAGTTGCCAGTGATCTGGTTTCATTATTTCAAATTACCATCACCATACTTTCAACATAATATATTTTTTCCTCTCATTACTCTTAGGCTTTAATACAGCAAAACATTTATCTTTGCTTGCTATTTATCTTCCAATAAAGAAGGTATAGGGAAGACTTAAGACTACTACTACAACATTTTCCCAGCTAAGAAACATAAAAATGCATATGCTGATTGCTGCTAAAGCATGTAGAATTATCCTATATTTTAAAAACTATTTGCTTAAAAGTTATACAGCCATTTAAATTCTAAGTTAAATTTAAAAATCCCCTTGAGTATAATTTTTCTCCAAATCAAATAAATCAATAAAATACATGAACTGTCTTTGGTGACATCCTGAAAAGTGCAGCCTGTGTATTACAGGGAGATCACTGCAACATAGCACTGAGAGATAAAATTAGCTTTCATGTGTTCTTATCTAAAACCTTAATATCATACTACACTTTTTCATTAAGAACATTTCAGAACAGGGAAAACCCTAAATGAGATCTTTCCCGTGGAGCTCAACAGAACAACATCCACAATTTTCAGTGATTTCAGGCCAGTGGGATGCCTTTGCATGCCCTTGCATCATAACAGCAAAGAATGCCTTACTCAAATGGAAGCAAGATGCTCCATGGTTAACTGACCTAAAGCTAATGAGTAATCAATTATATTTACAGAAATTTTCCCAGGAAACTTCTAGCACATTCCCAGTACTAATTACAAAGTTACAACCAATCCCACTGTCAGACAGTGCAGCTCCAGTTCACAGCTGAATCTGTGCAGGTCGGTTAAAATAACTCTGAGGTGCCCCAAGTTCTTGAAGGGATCCCGTAGGGACATTCAGACTGACTACACTGGTTCTCCAACTGTAAGCCAAGGTCCTCAGAGACAATATTTGTATTCACAGTAACTTCTATCTTAAGATCAATTATATGGGCTACAAAGTAAGAATGCGGACAACAAATGATTTTTATTCAAAACCTGGGAAGTTTTCTAGCATTATAAAGGCTGATGCTGGAAAGATGGTGGCCACAAGAAGTGCTGAGTCTACAGATGCTGTCTATTTACCAATGTTTACATGCTTAGGTAAGCATTTAGGAAGTGTGCAAATGATATATACACAAATTGAGCGCTATGTGTTAGTAAATATTAACTACTGGCTCCTCTTAGGTTTCTGTCCTTCTAGCAGGAAGTTTATATCACTGGCTCTCATGTGAAAACAGCTTGTCCTTAGACATCAATTGCCATGTTTCCGTTTTCCAATAAAAGACTTCCACATATATACTGAAATTTTTAATTTCGGTGTACTTACTTCCCCAAACATTTCACAAGAGTATTATCAGAAAAGGCAGAAAATAGAAACACAACTCAAAAAATATTTCAAGCCTTTTATAAAATTACCTTTCTTCCTTTTGCTCCTATTACTTTCAGTCCCATAAGACCCTAAAAAAAAGACCGAAAACCCCAAATGTTATTTAAAAAAAAAAATATTAAATACACCTGCAAAATTAGTTAATTGATGTTACACATAATAGAAAGCTTTTATTTTTATTACCAATCTGAGACTACCTTAGGTCCAGGAGGTCCCGCTTTCCCTGGCATGCCCTACCAAGAAAAGGGAAAAAAAAATACTTCAATTTTTAAAACTTGGATGTTTTGAAGTACCTAATTTTCATATGAGTCACATTACTATTTTTATTCTTTCTTCCACCTTTACAATCATAATTTGTTGTGAGTAGGTGACAGCATGTCTATAAAGTCTAGTTGCAAACATATACATTTCTCTTTGTTAAAATTATGCACCTTAATATTAAAAATTAATTTATGGGTAATTATTTGGAAATAAAAATTTATGACCACATCAACGACTATGCTTCTGAGAACATGGAAATTATCATATATAAAAATAGAAAAAAAAAATCACGTGTCTGTAGACCTCAAACGAGTCTGGGAGACTAAGGTACTTGTATTTGTGTAATTCCATAGGTTTCTAGGAAAATCAGAGGTAAAAGGAACGAGCAAGACATAAGCTCATACTCACTGAAGTTCCTGGAGGGCCCTGTGGTCCAAGGTCCCCAGGATATCCTTGAGCACCCTGGACACCCTGCATATTAATAGAGAAACAGGTATAAATCTCCTGACAAGACTATGAGCAAACCATATCACTCAGTTCAATGAACTGAATAACAAAGAGAAGCAGCACTGTCTCTGGATTTCCTATTCATCTCCACAGAAGTGTAATTCCTTCTCACTATTTCATGTGGTGGCATATGTTTTGAAATGTGAGAAAACATCCTTTGCACAACTAAACTACTCAAGTGAGGATATATGTCCTATTTAACTGTGGGCGTTCTCATAATTCATGCAGTCCTATTGCTAGCCCTAATAAGCCTTTTTAAACTTTTGAATATTCCATGCATTAAATTCTGCACTTTAAAGCTTGATTTTCAAAGAAATGGAAAATTCCTTTTTTATTTTCTTTTTAATTTCATGTCCCCTATTTATTGTAACAAGCCAAAAGAAATGCCTACTCTGCTTTTTCCTGTTAATCTCTGTTTTAAAAATATGGATCACACTGTCTTTTATTAGCACTTGTCTTGAAGCTGAGGTGGTCTAATCTGTTCAGTCTTACTTCATGGGGAATTTTTGCAGTTGGACTAGATGGTTGTTGTAGGTCCCTTCCAGTCAAAGTATGCTATGCTATACTATACTATTCTATGTGTAGGGGTAAACCCCTAAAACTATGACCAGTTTTTCTCCATTTCTAAAGTATTGTTGTTTGTCTGCAAGTTATCTGCCCTATCTCACTTTACTAATACATAATGGACATTAAAGTTTCTGATGGCAGAGTTAATTACTACTGTCTTGGTGCACTCCATTTTGTAAAGTCAGAAGAAAGACTTTGAATATATTGCATTAAATCAGATTACATTAATTTCTTGAAGACACAGAATTATTTCACAGTTTAGAAATAAGTGAGATAATAGTAAAAAAAGCTGGTATCTATGTAAAATACATAATACATTAAAATAATTTATATTATCTACAAATTATTTTAATATACACCCACATATTTTTATATGTACATTTATTTATTTATTTATTTATTCTTAATTACCTGAAATCCAGGTACTCCTGGCAATCCAGGATCACCTTTTGCACCATACTCTTGCTTATATCCATCTGCAGGGTACCCCTGGACAGTTAGATAAAAGGGAAGATAAAAAGTTGTGCTGTAGAACTCTAGTAGAACAAATCTTGTACAGTTTGTAGGAAAATAAGCAACATTAGAATTGCATAATGATGGCAACTGTCCCCTATGACTAGGTCTACCTTTAAAAAATATTTTATTAAACAGAATATACCTTTCTTAGGCATTCCAGTTCTTTGCTAGTAGCTGTCTTCATTTGAGATATATCTGTGTTACTCACCCACAGTCCTGACCTTCAATTTTTTTGGGGGTACTTTTTTAACCCTTTAAAATACTCTCTAGTGCATCTGCAGGTTTCCATATGAACTCATAAGCTGTCTGGGGGAGAGGCTAAGTTCTTTGTGTGCTTTAAAGAGTTAAATCAATTACATACAATAACATTAATTAAACGGGAGAAAAATATTATATACTGTTTTATAATTCAGGGTAAATGCAACTAATACAAACAACGCACCAAAGTCCATGGTTGCTTCTTCCAGAAAGCAGACCTGTTTCCCATGAATGGAGATGTTAAGAACTCTTTTCTAGCAGGAAACATAGACACACACACTGCTGACTACCAATAAATATTTCATGTAATATGGTGTAAATCACTGACCTTCTCTCCTTTGATGCCAGCAACACCCTAGTGAGAAGAACAATAATATTAAACCAGAAAATTAAGAGACAATGTCAAAAGGACACACTCTAAATACTGTGTAAGCTCGGTGCTCTTTAAGTGATTTATTTTCATGGACATGATGTAAATAGATATAAATCAGGAGAGCTAGTAACTTAAAAATCATGTTTAGAAGTTATTAGATTTGAAGGCTTTGGAACTTCATTATCAGCATTGCTTTTCCATTTGTTGTTTAGAAATTTCTTTTCAAAATATATTGTTAAAGAGAAAAAACAAAGCCTAAGGTTAAAGCAATGCAGCCATAATGAGAAGTTCTGTGTTTAATTCCTGGTTTCTAGTGACTTAATTAAGCCATATCCTCAAAAATATTTGGGTACGAACTGAAACTGCAATCTATTAAATATATGTATTAGAAACATTTAGACGTGTGAATGGTAAATTTTCGTGATCGTTCCTTTAGACACTAAAGGGCTAAGACTAGTCAATGAATTTGCATACTTATTAACTGAGAAGCTGAGGCCCAACCTGCAGCAGGTAAAGCATTATTTGTAACTTTGGTTTCTTTATCACACAGCTGTCATATTAATAAAATGGAGACAGCTATATATTTCAACTGTTGTCAAAGCCAGCTAATATGAGGCTTTACACTTTCAATGAATGGCTTTTATGTGCTAGAAATGCAACAATCATGAATTTCAGAGACACCTACTGGAACTCCTGGAGGGCCTCTTCTACCTGGAAAACCTGGAAAACCTTGATCGCCCTGGAAGCAGTAAGACTGACTGTTAATGCATATTATTGCGTAATATTTGGTCTGATTTTAGCAAATGTGATTAAAAAAATAAGTTTTTTAAATTTATCATACCAAGATTGTGAGCTGCATTACCACCATATTTGCCAGAAGCTTGACTGTATGTATCTTGACTTCTATCCCAGACACCAGGCTTTATTAGCTGTGTCAGATCAGTTCACTGTTTCACTAGAAAAGTATGATTTTCTGTAGTAGGCATTCTCTGACTCCCTCCTTCACAATGCTGGGAGCATAGACTAGTAAACCTGTAACTTAACAATAAGCCTTTTCTTTTGCTTTCAGGACTTACGAATCAACTACAAGCTAGATACTGGTGAAACAAAATGAATTTATTATCTCTTCTATAACCCATTTCAACAGCAGGACAGATTGAACAAAACTAGTTAGGTCTTCTGGATTTAATGAAAAAAGTGTTATCTGTCAAAATATCAAATATTACTCTTAATTAATTTTTTTTTGCAAAGGATATTTACTCTCTCTCACACACAAAGGCAGAACCTTTCCTTCCTCTGGCCTCACAATTCACATTTTTCCTAGTTGACAAAGTCACAAACCGAAACAAATAAAAGTTGTTATATATCAGGGCAAAACTTCAGAAAGCTTCTTGGTCATTGCTAAGCACAGCCAAGCAACCTCCACAACACGCAGCTGGGTTTGTACCTTTGTGCCATTGCATCCTGGAACACCAGGGCGCCCCGGAGGACCAACAGCTCCTGGTTCACCCTAAAAAGAAGTGCAAAATTGACACAGGCTTTGGTTTTGCACATTCATATTCCCCTACAGCAACACAGAAAGAATTTATGTTGGAGCAGTGTTTCACAAGACTTGACAGATTATACTGTGTTCTTAAATCATTACAACGAGTAAGAAGTGCTGATGCTATGATTGCTATCTCTAGGCTAATTGGCAGAGACAATAGTGGAGTTGAGACTAGAGTGAGCACACTGGGTGGAGGATAATTGTGTACTGAAGACTGTAGCAAGAGATAAATGGTTAAATCAGTTTTGTTTTTACTTACTGGAAGGCCTGGGGGACCTGAAAATCCCGGTATTCCTGGGACTCCCTAACAATATAAAAGCAGAGGAATAATATTACAAATATTGAGAAAAAGCTCAGGATGCAGGTTTCCTTTTGATGGCAGATATAAGAAAAATTAATGCAAGTATAGTTCTATCAAAATATCATTACTTCCTTAACCCTTCTGACTGTGAACTAAGTAAAATGGTAGCTCATGCACTGTTAATATAGACTGATTTTGTTCACAGGAAAAAACTTCTCATTGAATTCTAGTCTTTTCCATACCATTCCCCAATACTAAATACATACAGCATGAACCTTGTACATAAGGTGTTGCAAAAAAGGCAAAAGTTCTACAAAATAGATACTGCATATACATACTCGGTGTCATACATTTTAAAAATACTTTTACATCATAGGTGATGCTTTTGTTTTATTTTTTATGAATTATTGAACCAAGCTGGCATTTAACAAGACATTTAATATATACAAGCTTGTTTAGAACACACTTACTCGTGTGCCTTTGGGTCCAACTAAGCCCGTGAGACCCGGAGAACCCTACAGCACAAATGGAAAACAATGTGTTTCAGTATAACTGAGAAAAAACACATATATATCATCAGGATGTGCAACATTTTAAATACCAATACCAATACATGCATACAAACCTGCATACATCAGTCAATCCATTGATCAATAGTTTACTACAGACACTAAAGCAAACATCCATTTAATACAACTTTCATAAACCTTGGCATCTTACCCACCTTTCCAGTGTTTATGGGGGATATGCCTCACCACAGGTAAAAAAAATAAAAGTCAGAACATGTTGAGAAAGCTGTTTCTATGGATCTGTTCAAACTGTGAGACCTGAAAGTGCTCCCCTGTGAGGAAACAGCTGTAAGCCTCACCAAATAGGTTTTGGTTTATTTTTAATTTTTTTATTTATTTATTTATTTTTTAAAACAGAGGATTCTACCCAGCCTTAGCTCACTTTCACAGTCAAGCACAGTAATTTCTCTCTGTCTCCCATACACACCTACCTTTGGTCCCCGTGGCCCTGGAGGCCCTTCTGGACCAGGAAAGCCTCTATGACCAGGTGGACCTGGAACACCAGGAAAGCCTTTTTCACCCTGTAAACATTAAGAAAAAAAACATTCTTAAACTATCCATGAACCCTGCTTTGGATCAGTTATTTCTATGGCACTCATTAGTTTCTGTCCCTCTTAACTTCTGTGTATGTCTGCTACTGTAGCAGATGTATTACCATCCAAACCATCAATACCTTTCCTTATGCAAGCCATGAAAGAAACAGTGGGAGTCAAATGCAACAAAAGTTGCAACAGAAGTTTGCTGTATATGACAATCTTAAAAAATAATAATCTGAGTCTCACAGATTAAGACACTTAATTACTTTTTCATGTGTATTTTAAGGTCAGGATCAAATAATCAAACCATGTAAAGGAAACACAGAAGATTAAAACTATACAAATAGAATACAGGAGACAAAGTTACAATGGAAGGTATATTTTCAGTTTTTTAGTTAAATACGATTAAGATGCAAGTCATATCTTGGTTAAAATCAAGTTCTCCAAGCCTAGAAACTCACAGAAAGGGTATTTCAGCTCTTTAGGTAGCAGCAATTTAGCATGCTCAACTTTACACCAGTGAAGAGCTGCCTATTCAAGATCTTTTACATCACAGCATGACACAGGAGAGAGAGGGTGTGGTTATAAATTCTCTCAAAGCCAATTTTTCCCATAGCTTTACCCACAGACTCAGCAGATTTTAAACAGCTTCTGAATTAAAAGAACATATATAATTCCAGAATATTTTAACACAAATCAAAATAACGATTGCATTACGAAGTGTCTGTGACATCTTTGTTGTAACAAATCGTTTATGTCACCGAGGAGCATCCCAAGAAAGGCAAACAGGATAACGCGATACCAAGACGTGCCACTGGAGGGGGTGTGGGACCAGCTCACAGGAAACCGAAAGAAGTCCCTGATCTTCCCGTTTAAGCTTGATACCCCTTTACTGCAGCAAGAGATGGGGTGTTCTCTGGCTAGAGAGCAGCACTGCGCTCTCCTGACAGCTTCACTCTCCCGTGCAACGCACAGGCAACTTTATCCACACTTTCTTCTTGACAGATCAACAAGATCAGAAGCTTCTCATGTTGGAGAAATTCTAACACTGAACAGGACATACTGATTAATATAATTGTCCTGACTTTCCAAAGCTGCACGAAAACCTTCATCAGTGTAAAGAATTATTAATTCTTACCTACTAGTTCCTCAGTTGCTTTAAAAGGGAACTGGTGAAGAAAAGTTGCAGCTGCTCATTCTTACTAATATTTCTCTTTAAGTGGACAGCTTGTTTTTAAATAATTTTTCTATTGGTCTCAGTTTTACTGGTTATGACAAAGTCAGGTTAGATGAATGAACAACATGAAAAATAAGATTTTACTGAAGGCATGAGTACTCTCCTTTCCCACTTAGGAAAATAAGTTTTAATAATGACTGTATGTACTTTTTTTGGGACAGCTTTTCTCCACCACTGAAATGAAGCTTCCCAAAGGCAAGACTAGCAGTGTTTACTGGGGTGTAATATTACATTTTTTCTTGGTAATAAAAATAGAGGAGGAAAGTTGTGAGCAATTCTTTACCAGCCAGATGTGTCAGTCAGTGTGACTAACCATAACCCCAAGTCCATACAGACATCTGGAATCTACTGATAAGGTTTAGTATGGCAATCACTGTGTCCACAGCCTGAATTACAACCATGACTTCTTTAATAATGGCCCTTTCATTTGTGAATCAGTTGTTTTTCCAGCTACAAGCAGGAGTTTGAAAGAATTTTTGGCATTTGTGTAATTCAGGTTTGTCTAAAAGCCACTTGGAGCCTCTGCCAAGCTGCTACTGGCAGCAGCCAGAGCTGCGGCTTTGTTGCGTTGGATGGCTTCGGTGCTGCTCCCTCCCTGCTGGCAAGGTGCTTTGTGATTAGGACCCAGAAACTCATTCCCTGTCTTCTTCTGCAGGATTTATCTGTCTGATAACAGTGCATGCAGCTTTCCCTCAGGAACTGGAAAAGGGGCAGAGGGGGACAAAGCCCAAAGGTGGAAGGAGGGACGCGCTGGACATGAGCCTGGATGGTGTTACGAAATAGCAGGAGAGCTGCTGCCAGGGCAGGGGCATCTGTCAGAGCTGGCCAGGAGCTTGTGAGAGGGACCTAGTGCTTCAGTAGCTGGCACTTCAGTAGTTGGCACTCAGCATCATGCAATACTGTAAACAAACGAATACATTTTAAAAAGGAAATCTAAAAGTCTTCTTAGTTAAACAATGCATCCAAAGGTTTTTCTTTTAACAGGTTGTTTTATAAGGTAGTGCACTCCTTTTACAACTCTCTGTAGACTCTGCTGCAAGAACACCACCACACAATAGAGCAATGAATTTGGTCACTGTATCAAATTAAATAATGCACTGACAATTTCCAGGTATAAACTAATCTTAAAAAAGGAATAATGTATTTGTTCTTACCTTATTACCTTTTGTGCTATCACAAAAGCAGGGGCTTTTACCTTTGCATACACAGCTCTGAAAAACAAAAAGTCAAACTTTATAGTACAATTATTTTTCTCATTGTGTTGTTTGGTGAGGGGCAAATGAAAGCTCAGTGGTTTTAGCAAGGTAATTCTTTCCCAGATAATACAACTTAAAAAAATGTCTGTGAAGAGAGACAATTCTGAACAGCAAGAAAGAGCTCATTATTTCTCTGTATTGTCTTTAGAGATAGATAAGGGCACTAATTCAATTTTATAGCTCAGGTAAAGGCCAAGAAGCCAAGAAGCCTAACACCACTAAGATTATAACATCAGTATGAAGTGTAAAATTCAAGAGTTCGTGCTCACAACACAAAACATTAATGATTCTTTTACAAATCGACTATAAAAACAAACATGTACATTGGTTTAGATTAGAATGATTTAAAAAAAAATAATAATTAACTAATAATTTTCTAATTGTTCAAGCTGTGTTCACTTCCTGACCGTGGCTCATGGTACCTAATACAATAAAGGATCCTCAACTTCAATGTTTCTTAATTCTGGAGGTTTCCTGAGCTAAGATGTGTGACAGTGAGTGCCCTCACATAGGGGTGTCCCCACTTGTGCAGTAAGTACTGGGCTGCCACTGCTGCCAGCATGTCTGGCTTTCCAAAGGAGCCTTATTAACATATACTATGTTTTTTATTGTCCACATTTAAGTGAAAAAAAAACCCCAAAGGAACAAAACCCACAAACAAGGAGATTCAGTATGTAACTGGATAGATAGTGTGACTAAATCACCTAGCTCATGTACTAGGTAGTTGTGGTAGCAGAGGGCTTTGCAGCTCTGAGATCCTGGTAACTATGAGAGCACTTAACCTTTCTGTTCCCTGTTCCTGCTACAGTTATCAGGCACTTAGTACCTGAGCTAGCCCAGTCTACCTGGGATAACTGCAAAGGACTTTCCTACACTCACATAGACTTATTTCAGTCGAGTGCATGATATTTATATATTTTATTTTATTTCATTACTATAGTAGTATACATACTAAAATATCATAGAGGTTAATGAAGCTGTGTATTTCAAAGAGACATGGAGTAAATATTGTCCTTCTTTGTACACTTCAATTCTCTGTTTTTGAAGCTCTTGCCGAATCACTTTTTCAACTTTACTGCTGTAAAAAGAGTGTTGTTTTTCAGTTTATCCTTCCACTTTGGTGTATCTACTTGTCACAATGACATATGCTATGCTGCATGGCAGACAACAAGAAAGTGACAAATATCACATCTTGGTTATGAAGATACTTTTCTAAGTTGCATAAAGTTCATAAAAGAATGTTTTTCTTACAACATTGAAGTCTTTAAGACGGTATGATATGACATTTCTATTAAGGTCTTGAAGACAGAATTAATCCCTACAGCTGGTCATCATACAGCAGCAGCACTGTTTCCAGTTTGTAACTTTTCATTGGTGTTCTCAAAAACAGAAAACACAAGACAGAGGGGCAAAAGTGTTCTCCATTACATTTTTAAATGATAATGCCAGATTGTCATTACATTTAAATTTTCCTGTAGCAACCTGTTCAGGTAAAACATTTTACAGAATCAAAAAGCACCTTTTCTTCCCACAAGCTAGGATCAATTTCATCTATCTTTTCAATCCAAACCCGAGGTATCCAGTATCAGCTGGCTGCCTTCATTTCTTACACAGTTCATGGTGTTTGTCTCTTTCTATGGCCTACAGAAGGAACTTAACATCTAGTTTTGAACAACTCCCCGTCTCTTTAGGTGCCTCTTTTAGGATGGAGATAAGATGCTGCAAGTACTTCCTATTCTCTGTGGACTAGACAGTTACTGACAGCAGCTGCCTTCTAGGTGGCTGAGGTTAGGTGAGATGAAATAATCTATTAAATTAAAAATAGATGCAGAGAGTACTCCTCAAAAGACAGCTATGCAAACATTCATTTACAAAATCAAACACAATTAGAATAAGTTGGCCATGAAAAGCAAATCCCTAAAGAAATTATTGTCTGCCTGTGTTCTATAGACAGATTAATAGGTGATTACTTGATGTTTCAAGCTAGATTTTTAAAGAGTTGTGAACATCAAATGCTTAATTCTTTGGCATATTAAACAAGACTCTTCCTTCCCCTGATCTGACAGCTAGAATTTAAAAATTCAATAGACACATGTCTGAGCCCAGGAAAGGTGCTGTTTACTGAAGAAAAAAAATGTTTACAGTATCCCACGTTCTCTGGATTTCCTCAGAGTGCCTGGCAGCACACACTGGCTGACCATAGGGAACTTTCCTGACAAACAGCCACAGCTTCTAATCATCCGAGTACCAGTTGTTGACCATTATCATTCTACAGACCTCCACGGAGTTGCACCTTATTTCTACCTGTGAAACTCAAGGTCGAAGCAGATTCTTTACAGTACTTGTAAGCAAAGTGCAGTTTTCAGCACACTTAGATAAATCATCAAATGAATAAGTATAATCTACGCAGAAGATGATAGGTGCAGGTACAGAAGAAAGCTTTTCTTTTAACTTACAATGTCAGACAATTCCATGTGAAGTTAAATGCACAA